ATAAAAAATACAAAAGTTATTAACTTTTAAAGGAATGATATTAAAATACAATTAATACATGTAACATGACCATAAATAATCAACATATTTATGGTAATCCGAACCTAATTATTTTTTGTTTGGAATTAAATTAAAATTTACCCTAGCCTAATAACGAAGCATATAATTTTGCCACATAGGATTCCGAAGCACCAGAAGCAGCCACGTAGGCTCAACGCATTCTGTATTAATATATAGGGGGATATAGGGGGATTTTTTTCTAATGCCTCAATATAAGAAAATCACATTGTGATATTAAAAAATCCCAAAATCTTCAACAACCAATTTAACTTAATTATAAATTTATTTTAAATAATCAATAAATAATTTCTATTCTTATCACATGAAAGAAAAAATAATATAAAAAAAAAAGAAAAACACAATCCATCAATATGTTTACAAAATCAGAATCCCCGTCACAACCCCATCAGACCCATTCTCATCCGCCGCTAGAAACTCCATCCACAGTCGCGGGCATCTCCCCGCAACCCCTCTCCCCACCGCCGACCACCCCCACTGACAAATTCAAGATCCCGTTCCTCTCCCTCTGCCATCCCCCAACGTATAACTCAAAAAACTCAGATAATTCTTAGTTAGGTGGTCGTTGTCGGAGTCCACCACCGGAATGTTCGTTGCCTTGACCTTCCTCCTGCTGGCGCGGATCTCGGCGATGATGAACCGGGCTTTTGGGGGAGGTCCATTGATGAGAACTTGGCCGGCGAACCTTGTAGAGCAAGCTAGCCAAAATTCCTAGTTTAGCTTTTACTGTAATTTTATTCCTAATTAACATTTAACACACGTATTTGACTAGTTTGGAGATTCTTAATATCACGGATATTTACTTTCTTTAGGATTATAATTTATTTCATCATATGTTGAGTATTCTCTTATTTAAATCGCTATGTAATCATCTTTGATTTAATTAAGCACTAAGATATCAAAAGAGGCTCTTTCGAGCACAATACATCTAGTGTTAACCATGATCGTTAGTGCGGGTTCTTTCAAACACAAAACCACACAATGTTCATCATCCATGACTAGCCGCTTGTTCCGCGATGAAGAGGAAAATAATAAGAATAAGAAAGAGAAAGAGAAAAAGAAGATGAGAGTGACGAGAAAGATAAGAGTCATTAATATAAGTTTTGGAAGACAAGTATACAAATGATGAATCTTTGAAAATCTAATAACTAAATTTAAATTATATCACATAAAAAAAAAAATAAACATTTCTTAATATCGAATAAAGTAAACGACGGGATAATTCGAGTTTGTTTAAAAAAAATTTTAGAAATTATAAAATTAATTTTTGTAGACTGAAATTTACATGTTATTTCAAATAAATTCCTATTGCATAATAGATTATTATGAATCAAGTAATAGACTTTTAAAAGTATAGTAATTGCTGTAATATAATGTCATAAATTATTAATTTTAGATTTTCAACTTGAATGATAATGTCAAATAATAAAAAAATATTTCAATATTCAAATCTTATAATAACCAAGAAACCCGTGTTAATCCAATGACTCCATTTTAGTACTAATTTTGCTACCCGTGCGATGCACGAGATACCATATAAAAATAATTATTTTTTTAACATTATTAAATTATTGAAGATAATATGTAAATTATATTTGGCATAACATATCAAGTTCGTAATAGTATAATATTTATTTAAATATTTAATTTTTAGTTTTTCAATTTATTTTTGTAGGTATGAACTTTATTAGTTATAGTTTATAAAATATTATAAAAAATGTAAGATTTAAAATATAATGATTGAATATAGATTACTTGTTATATATACTTATATAATTAACAATTATATTAATCTTATAAATTTTTTAAAAAATCATATTTTACATATTTCTCGATAAATGACAAACGTTAATCCATAAAATTGACTTTTATTTATAATCCCTTTAATTTCATGAAATACTATCGTATGATAATTAACTTTTATTTTTTAGTAACTTTTATCTCTTGTGCAACACAAATTTTTTATGGTAAATATTTTATTTTAAATTTTAATATTTTTTTTCTATATTTATTTACTTAACTTATTATCTTCAACATATATACTAATTTACTTAACAAAAAATTTAATCATTTAAATTTTAATGACTACCAAATGCTATAATTTCAATTATTACTTGACTACATGATTTTATTTACTCATTTTCTTTATAAAAGGATATATAAAAAAAAAGAATTATTCTTTACACCTTTAATAGTATTTTTGATGTATACAAATATTTAATTTGAATATTATAATTATTCATTTTACCCAACTAAAAAAATATAATTTATTAATATATGATTATTAGATTTTAATTTATTTATGGTTAAGTTTACTACATTTTATAAACTTTTATTAATATTTTAAATCATTCATTAAGCTAATGTAATTCTATATTTAATTATTTTTCATTATTTTATTATATATTTTAAGTGTTTTTGGTTGATAAACATAATTCATACCTACAACAATGAGAGGAAAAATAATATAAATAATTTATATAATTTTAATGAATAATTGTTTTTTAGAAAATATGTCAACAAAATTACTTATAATTGCTATGATGGTCTTATTCAAAATTTATCTAATCTATCAACCATCCTATTCAAGTAAATTTATACTTAATGTGAATTAGCCATAGTGCAAAGAAAGAAAAAAAAAAATATTTTTCATATGTAAAATTTGCTGATAAATAAAGCTTAATTATATGCCAACTACAAATGATTTTTTTTTTTTTTTTTTTTTCATATTCAAAACTATGTAGTATGGTAATATAGATTGATACATTATAAGATATAAATATAGATTTTTATCAACCTATGTATCATTTTAGTGATTACCCGATGCCACTTATTATGGTACTCGGGTGTAATTTTTATTTATTCTATATATTAAAGATATATAATTAGAAATTTATTTTTCTCACAAATAAATAATTTGTAATACGTGTGTGTGTGTGTATATATATTACTTTCGATGTTCTTTTTTTTTTATTTACCCAATCATAAAAAAAACTTGTACTAATACATTTTTATATTTGAGTATATTATTAAGACAATTAATTTATCTTCACAAATCTTTGAGATCAAATTTTAATTCAAGCAATAATTAGTTTCAATCTTCTCAAATTTGTACTAATACATTTATATATTTGGGTGTATTATTAAGACAATTAATTTATTCGCGAATCTTTAATGCCGTATTTTAATTCAAACAATAATTGGTTTAAATCTTGTCAAATTTATTATTGAATTAACCAATTTTGGTTTTATCGCCCCTATATATAATTCTCGAATGGGCTGAGCCTACGTGTCTGCTTTTGGTGCTTCGGAATCCTACTTGGCGAAGAATCATGCTTCGTAATTAGGTTCGGACAAATAATATTGATATATTAATAATTAATATCTAGGTTCGGACATTCCATAAATATTATTTAGCTAACTTAGGTATTTTAATATCACTTGTACTAATATAACCCTTTAATTCTTTGTAATTTTACCTAGTGAGACACTAACCGACTAACATATCCCTGACTTTTGATTTGTTTCCTTCAATTAGCTATTGAATTATAAATATATTTTAAAAGTTGATAACTTTTGTATTTCTTATCGGTTTTACATATATAATATATCAAACTAATCATCTTTTTCATTATCTTCGATTTGACATCCATATTGTATATATAAAATAAATAAATAATATTTACCTTTATAATAATACAAAATAATATTTATTAAATTTTATTAGAAAATAAAATTATTTCTCAGTTGATATATTTTTGTTTAATGTAGCTATATGTTGTAAGTTAAATTATTATAATATAACACAAGTAAGTCACACAAATAAAAAGTGTCATACAAAATATATAATAATATATATTTTTATAAAAAGTTATTTAAATTTTCAACTACTTTTTCTCAATAATTTTAGATTTTAAAGAAAAAATTAGCAAGCACCCGAGCGTTGTAATAGTGTAATAAATGAATGCTTAATAGTAATTGCTAAATTTAGTTGAAATATTTAGATGAAAAGTTTGTGACAAATATAGTAAAAATAATTGTTCCAGATATAGATATAAATATAGATATTGATTATAAAATAAATGAAAATCTGACATTTAGATTTATCCGATAAACTTTGGTAAATCTTATTGTTTATCACCAACTTTCGATAATCTAAAAAGTGGGGTAACAACTGAAAGAACACAAACTACACGGACTAACAAGAAAACAGTACAAACTAAAGGACCACGGTTGCAAAATTCTATCGCCCGAAAAGGTAAAAAAATCTATTTACCGGCGAAGCCCAGCACGAGGGCTTATTTATAATTATATCCCCCATTTTTGTTTTTATTTTTTTTTACCAAATTTGATTTTAAGTGACAGAGAGGAGCTATAATTCTTGTGTTCTTGTTCGAAACAAACCCGCATAGAAACAAAAAGAGGAGCCCCAATTCAATTCGACACACACACACTCACACACACACACACAGCCTGAGAGAAGAAAAAAGCACGCACTGAAAACACGCAGTGAATGCGTATGGAAAACCCCTTTACTTCGAAGGGGTGAAAAGAATTGAGTTTAGTATTTTTTTTTTTCTCTCTGTTTCTCAATGGCGCTAAAGGTGCAGCTGCTGTTGAGGGAGCTGGGATCGAAGCTGGGGAGACCGCCGGCGTCGAAAGACGCTCTGGTTAAGCTCTTGAAGGTGAGAAACCGCCATTTGGGCATCTTGTTTGCGTTGGAATTTCGTTAGGAGCTTTGATTTTTTTGTGCCTGTTAGTTAATTCGTGCTCCTTTGAGAGTATTGTTGATTGGTGCATGTTTGGAATTCGTCTAATTTTTCGAAGATTCCGCGGTTTATGGTTGAAATAGGGTTGTTTTAGGCGTCGTTTGGCAAAAAAGATCGAATCTTTATTCGAGTACTTCTTAGTTAGGAGTGATGTGGAGATTTCAG